GAGGAGGAGGAGGAGGAGGAGGAGGAGGAGGAGGAGGAGGAAGAGGAACAGATTATGGGAATCTCCTGAGCTTCCCACCCAGGGCTGTCCAACCTCAAGTCCCCTTGAGCCTTGAGTGCTTCTGCCTGGGCCTGCTGACAGCAGCAATGGTTTTTCTTTCTTAAGTAGCAACAAAGCCATTTCCCAAGTATTGGAAGTATGTGTTTCACATGTAGATATATCACAACTACCATGTCCTCACCTCCTCTGGACTTGTCTTGGAGCCTTTCGGTAGATGAGACTTGTCAGGATGACCACTGCAACCACTAGGATCACCACGACCATGATTACACTGACTATGAGGCTCCTAGATGCTGTGGGACACATGGCCACATGATCATCCAGGACTGGGGATGAGCTGAATCAAGAGCTGGGGAGGGCCCTTGGGAGATGCAGCCTTTCAGTCCCCCTTGACCACGTCCTGGGTCCCACACCCCACATATGGTCAAGTGCCTGAGGACTCCAGCAGAGGGCCCAGTACATTACACCAGCTCTTCTGGCTCTCCAGCAATGGCTTAGAAGACGTGGCAGTGGTGAGTCCCAGCCCCACAGTGCCACCGTCAAGGCCTAGCCAGTTCCCCGAGGCTGTGTTGCTGTGGACAGCCGCAGGCTCAGTGGCTACTGGGAAGGAAGACACTGTGGGGGTTGTGGAGAGTGGCCCTAGATACCTGGGCCACAGCTACCTAGGCTTGTTTTGAACAGGACACTGCCCCGTGTCACCTTTGGGAAGTAGAGATATGTGATCCCTCCTAACCCCCTTCAAAGCCGGCACCCCACAAATACCAGCTCTTGTAGTCTTCAGGACCTTACCTGTTTGTTTTTCTGGTACTTCTGCCAGCCGCTCTGCACAGTAGGGTGGGGCCCAGCCCGCATGGCAGTGGCACTCCCCCTTATGGTTGCATACCTGGCAGGGAGAAAGTTGGCCTCAAGGACAGGTATACCATGTGGCAGCAGGGCAGGATACAGCATGCAGAGTCCCTTCCATCCACCCACGTATGTCAGCCTTGGGCTTATAAAGAATCCTCCCCAGTGGCCACACTGTCCAGTGGCCACAAGCTTAGTGGAGGGCACTTGTCCTACCTCAGCCCCAGAGAGGCCTTATGATAACCTCCATCAGAAGGATATAGGCTTGTTCAAGCCCACATTACTATACCCACAGCTCTTTCTGCCACAAGTTCTAACAGACAGGTAAATGGTGGCAACCACCCAGCTCAAGGGCACCAGACAGTGGGTATACTGGGACCTGGGTCCTGAGGCCGCACGTACCCCGTGGTCGTTACACTTTGCAGAGCAGCTCTCAGATCTATATACACGGAGGCCCTGGCAGTGTCCGTTCATGCAAACCTGGAAGGTGGAAGGGGCTCTTGGGTAGCTGGCCTAGACCCAATCCCAACCCCATTATCCTCAAATCCAAAGGGAAGTTCAGGTCAGCTAGTATGGTCACACTCCAGGATACCTATGCTGTTGTGTGTGTGTGTGTGTGTGTGTGTGTGTGTGTGTGTGTGTGCGCGCGCGCTTGTGTGGAGGGGGCTTCAGGCCTGAGGTGGTACAGCAATGGCTGATGCCTTGGTCACTGTGGGTATGGTGGTCTCTAGACGGGTGTCTGCACTCACCAGGCTACCTTCCTTCTCAGTTCTGACCAGGGCATGATAAAGGCTCCATGCACATGCCTCCACCAGCTAACACTGTCTGTCTAGACATCAGCAGAGACTCATATGGGTGCATTTGTTTTTCCACAGCCCTGGATGGCTTTCAAGTGCTCTTCAGCTTACCTTCCCCTCCTCGCACTTGGTGCCTGGGAGTACTGGCTCATAGATGCCAGTGTTGCTCTCTGTTTGGAGAGCATGGCAAATTCCATACTGGGAGGAGAAAGTGCAGGAGGAACGTTCAAGCGGCTTCTGGCCTCCCTCACAGTACAGCACCCCACATCGGTTGATCCTGCAGACAAAGGGCAGCCTGTGGTCCCAGGTGTCCTGGGCATGTGCTCAGGTACCTGAGTGCTGCAAGAGACAGTCCTAGGACCTTTCCTTCCTCAAGAATGACAGGCTCAATCTGATGACTTGAAGCAGGGCAGGCTCAAGGAGAGCCACCTGCCTCCTTTTCGGGAAGTCTCTGTGGACCCACCTGGCCATTGAACACATGCCACATGCAGCTGCCAACAGTTTGGCCTTGATGCTTACCTGCCAGGGAGTATTCTGCCATTGCAGCCCCAAGGGATGGTAAAGGTAAAGCAGGAGTCTGACGCAGCCCGGGCACCTGTGGGGCCAGGAGAAGTTAGCCTGGCTTAGGTCATAGACATTCTACAAGCTGGGCCTCATCCTCTGTACTCATGTCTGCCTCACCTGGCCCCCACAGATTCTGGCACTGCTGTGTCAGTGTGGGGCAGCTCCCATCAAAGCAGTAGCCCCCTGGGCAGGGGGTGCCATTCTCTTGGAAGGCATCTTCAGGACATGCTGGATTCTGGCCATCACAGAACTCCTCCAGGTCACAGTTGTCCTTCATGGGACGACACAGCTCACCTGCTGGCTTCACCTGGTTCCACAGAGAAGTTTACTGTGGGGTAAGTCCACATGATGCCTTTACAGATGTCCCATTGCCTTAGGTTTAACTGGGGCATATCCTGGGGGAAGTCCAACTTACCTTGCACTCATGACAGCAGGCACCAAAGGCACACTCTGCCCCCTTGGCCAGCTGGCAAGTGGTGGCATTGCAGCAGGGGTTCTTACATTCCTAGGAGGACAATGATTTGAGCAGCTAAACCCAGACCTGGCTCCAGGGCAGATTGGTTTTGGGTGACCACTGGGCAAGGGACTGCAGCCAATTTCTCTCCTTATAGGTTATTAGGGGCTCAAAGGGAAATGTAGTGACTTGTGATCCCAGGGGCCACATGTGGGGTGAGCAAACAACACCAGGCCTGAGAGGCTAGCCTAATCAAATGAACCTTTGACTGAGGCCCCCACACCAAGGCAGAGGCTGACCAGCAAGGGGCAGGGTTGGGCTGAGACAGACCTGAGGTGTACCACAGTCACACTCCTCTCCGTGCTCCACAAATAGGTTTCCACACACAGGGCCACCCACAAACCGGTTGACATCTGGGACATTGGTCAGGCAGCCTGTCTGGGGCTTTGCCACAAATGACTCTAGGTCAACCTGGCTACACCTGCTGAATATCTTGGGGAACTTGGAGCTAAGGGCAAGAGATGTCACCGTTAGGAAGAGCCACATGCCAGTCTGTCCCTTCCCACCCAACATGACCCACAGGGCCTTACCCAAAGCTTCCAGTCATGATGCAGCCACCACTGTCAAGAGGTACAGGACAGTAGCAGCCTGGAATGTTCTCATCATGGCTCATGCCCAGATTGTGGCCCAGCTCATGGGCCATGGTAGCTGCTACACCAACGGAGTTTGTGGTGTGGTCCTATAAGGATTTGTTCATTAGTATTATCTTGCTACCATCTACCCACATGCTCTCTGCCACCCCTAGGTGCCCATAGACACGATACTGCTTCCTGCTAACAACCTAACATAAAACCAGGTTTCAAGTTCATCCTCAGAGTAGGTTGCTGCTTCATGGTGTCTTTAGGGACCTAGGCTGACACTTCTGCCCCACAACTCAGGCTCTATGTTTGACTGTACTGCCACTAGACAGTTTGGCAAACTTGGGCGAGAGTTTCTTTTACCTGGTTCACAGCTCCTGAGTACCGGGAACACAGGGCAGACACCTTAGCCAGTCCGACAGTGGTCCCAATGAAATCAACCCCCCTAGAAACAGACATGACATGTATGTTCTTGACATGGTTCCTGGCCCCGCTTCATCCCTGCACAGCTTTGCCTGGGGGTTCTGCCTTGGAGGCCAGCCTGTACAGAGGCCAAATCTCTAGGGCTTGGCTCTGTGTCCCTGTGACAGATGGGTATGCCCACCCACTCACGTGATAAGTTGCACGTTGTCATGTGGGTGCCCTCGCAAGTTCTGTTCCCTCCAAGACAAGAAGTTCTCCAGTGTAACATTGGCATAGCGGCTGATGTAGAACTTGTCCCTGCTCCATATCTCCAGGCCCACCAGGACCACACGGACATTGAGTACCTGATAAAGCTGCAGAATATGAGAAGGCCCTTGGAGTCAATCCAGGAGTGTGGATGGATGGGGGCATTACATACATTTTGCCACTAGTAGGTCCTGAGCTCAGTAGAGAGCCCTGAACCAACCCCCCTCTTGATTGGCTATCTTGCCCTTCCCACCCTAAACAGCTGCACCCTCTCTTCAAGTATCAGCACCGCTAGGGCACCCCACCTTGTCCACGTGGTTTACAACCTCCAGCACTCGCTGGCGCACAGCTTCTCTGCTCCCCAACATCTGGAACTAGAAATATAGGACTTTTAGGCTGGGGCTTGGCAACCTCATCCCAGCTCATCCAGCCCACTCAGCCCCTGCATCCCATACCTCTTGGCTGTCCGTGACCACATACAACTCCACATAGCGGGTTTCTCTGGGTATTAGCCAGTTCTAGGGAAAGAAGCCAGTCAGAATTCTTGGCCTTGATCTCAACCTACCCCAGAGCCTAACTCTATGTTGGGAGGCAAAGTCTAGACATCTTCAATGCAGTGGGCCTTCTCTGTAGCTGCAGGGCTGAGTCAGACCCACCCCCCGGGCCTGGGGCCTGCTCCGGGCCTACAGAGAGCCATGCTTATACGGAAGCATGGGGTCTGTGACGGGACTGGTCAGCAGGGGATGCCGCTACTCACCCGGGGCTGAGACCTGTAGATTTCTAAGGCCCGAGGCCCCAGCTCATCCAGACTGGTTTCGCTGACTCCACAGGTCCCGGCCTTCTGTTGTAGATGATTTGCCTGGTACACTGCATGCTGCCCCTCTTCATCACCATCCAGAGGCTCAATCAAGTGGACAGTGGACCCAACTCGGAAAAAGCCCCTGAGGGAGAGAGCCAGGCGAACACAGGTTATGGTCAGCTTGTTCCTACCTACCCATCTGTGAGGACAGGTGCTCCATGCTTGCTGACTCAGAACAGCCACCTCCCACCCTTGTGGGAGACGACCAGGCTTATGGGTACAGGAGGAGAGAAGGCACATGGTTTAGTACAGCCAGTAATTGCTAATGGAGCCTAAGCAAGAGCCCAAACCCTTCCAAACACAGAGCAGGAAAGACATTTTTTTTTCAAAGTCTCAGGCCGAGGCCCTTTTTTTTCACTGCCTCAGTTTATCCTTATATAGAATGAGACTTCCTGCCTGGGTCTGCAGTACACACCTGAGGCCAGCACAGGTGCTAAGGCTGGCATCTGAGTCCTGGTACTCTTCCACATGGCCCTGGTAAAGGCAGTGGTCCTGAAAAAGAAGTGAGGGAGGGTCATAGGTCTTGCTGCCATGATCTCACTGGCCCCGGGAAGGTTGTGTTGGCTCCATACCTGTGCGTGCAGCTGCTCCGTCACCTCAGAGCCATTGGCAGCTGAGTAGGTCTCTGTGTAGCCTTTGCTCAGCAGGTCCCTGAAAGAGAATCACTGAAGTTCCCTGGTTCCACCTCGCACTGAGCAGCAACCAGAGGGCACCTGGGCCGGGATTCTGGCACACAGAAGCCTGTGTACTTCCCAATGGACTCAGGGACTACTCCAAGGGCCAGAATCTGCTTACCTATTCTTCCGAAGGTGCAGGGTGAAACTGTGCTCTCTGGTCCCAAGAGCATAGCTCAGACTTTCTGGGTACAGGTCCTAGAAGGGGAACTCAGGGTGAGTGGCCTCAGCTTAAGGCCAGGGATTTGCATAGCAGAGAGCCTTCCTAGGAGAGCTTGGGGATTCATTAGTTTCAGGCAGGGAAGCAGGTGGCTAGGACCAGGCTGAACTGTTTGGGGGGACAGGGAAAGCAAGTCTCCCAGATGAAGCAGAAAACAGAGTTCCATGGTCTCTTGAGCCATTTCCCCATCTGTTCACAAGGACGACGATGATGATGATGATGATGATGATGATGATGATGATGATAACGATAACATTCCTTCCCAGAGAAAGCAGGGTAGGAGTGGCAACCATGGCAAGATTGCCACTAAATCTGGGGCAATATGGGGGTGGTCAAGTTGCACAGAGCCCCGTAGTTACCACTATTGTACAGCTGGCTATGATGTCCACCTCAAGATGCAGGGCAGGTGTGTGCTATCCACTCTATGACCCTTCACTCATACACCATTTGTACAACCAGCTAGCCCTAGGGACAGCATACAGCAGGAGAGACAAAAGCCCAGGAAGGGATGTTTCCTGAAGAGCCAAACAAGGACAGGGCTAGAAGTCTTCCTGGAGGTCTATAGGCAAGTCTCAATTCTCAGCCCCAGGAAGTCCCAGGCTGAAAGAACATTCACATAGCTTTAGGGTGAGCAGCTGTTAGCTAATCTACTACAAACCGCTGCCAACTGAAACTGGGGAGTGGCCTGGGGCGGCACAGCTGCCGTACCTTTCCTGGGGGAGAGGCCTCTCCAGGCTGGGCCAGTGGTCTCGAAAGGAGCAAGGCAGCAAGTGGGTCCTAGTGCCTACTTTTAAGGCCGCAGACTCTGGTTCACGGTGGTAGCAGGAGGAAGGAAGTTGTGAGCACAAGAAGGAGGAACTATAGTCATGCCCAGAAGCACAGTCAGATTTAAGTTCTGGAGCTGTGCAGGGCAGCCCCTAAAGTCTACTGGTCCTTTTATAGAAACAGGTTATGTGGCCAGGCTAATAAGCAGACTTACCTCGTGGGAGGGCAGAGCTCTGCGGGATCGGGATGCAGCTAGGCGCCGAGGCCATACCACCTCATACTGTTCCACATGGGGCAAAGGAGGTCCAGGGGCTACTACTACAGGAAGAAGAAATGGGGTCAGAGGCACAGCAGGGACTGTCCCACCTGAAGCAGTGTCTGGCCAATGTTATCTCTCTTTCTGGGGGATCACTACATAGCTCAGTGCCAGCAATGGGATCTGGCCCCATGGTCCAGGTAAGAGCCTTGTGCCTAAAACACCACTGGATACACAGTACCCGGAAGGACCCCATCCACTCATCCCATCCTTCCCAGTGTGTAGCTGGACCTACCCAGGACACATATAGGCCCTTGGTCTGCCTGCCAGATATCTAGAGTTGACCTGATCTCATCTTTAGTTACATGGTCATATCTAATTGAGGAAGAAAGCACCCCTTCCCTTAGGCTTTTCTCTCAACAGAAAACTTCCTATTGAACAACAGATGAAGGACCCTCTGTTGGCAGGTCCAGTTTTAGAGACCACCTATCACAAAGAACTGTCCTTTTCAGCAGTGACAAGACTGCAGCTGCTTTTTCTTCTTCTTTTGTTTTTCAAGACAGGGTTTCTCTGTGTAGCTGTCCTGGACTTGCTTTGTAGACCAGACTGCCCTCAAACTCAGAGATCCACAGGCTGCCTCTGCTTCCCTGAGTGCTGGGATTACAGGTGTGGGCCACTGAGCATGGCTAGAGCTGCAGCTTCTTAACCCCAGAGTTCCAGGACTGAGAGGTAAGAGAGACCCCTTCAGCCAGGGGCCTGCCTCCCAGAACAGAGGAAAACCAGTAGGTTCCAGTAGGTGGCAGGACCCCATGTCACTAAAGAGGTGGGACCACTGCACCTCTGGCTTTCTGTCCCTGCACAGCTAGGGGGCTCTGCATCCCCCAGGAGCCCACAGATGAACCTTGCTACCCAGGATTCCTACAGCAGCCAGGAAAGCTGCCCTGTGGGTGCCACCTAGTGCTGTCACTGTTCCCGTAACTACCTCAAGGGAAAAGTCCCAGGAGCCAACTTCTCTTACACTTCACTTTTGAAAAAAAAAAAAAAAAAAAAATCTCAACTCTGATCTTTTCTGTATCTACCTATTTTCTCCACACCGAGGGAACAACTCCAGGGAGGCAAGGTGACCTGACCATTGTAAGTGGCTACTAGGCAGACACCAAACCCTGAACAGGTTCCTTGAAGTCAAATAATCATCACTTACCTGGTGTCCATAGGACACTGAGTAGCCAGAGGCCAAGCATGATGGGATCTTGGGCACACTGATCCTAGAGGTTCCACAAAATACTGTCTTGAGCACTGCTCTGGTACTTCTTTATGAGAGTCCTTCCTAGAAATCAGGACTGGCCAATCACTGGGCTGCGGGGTGGGGCTGGGCGGGGCTGGGAGGGGCCAGATGTGTACACCTCTGAACCAGCACGCTGCTGGCAGCAACCTGACTCGAGAGCAGCCTGGAGTTACAGAGGCAAGTAGCCTCTGGGTAACTTTGTGTCTTCAGCTGGTCTCCCATGATTTTAAACCAAATTAACGGGAACTGGAGATGATAAATGGACCAACTTGAGCAATTTTGCAATTCTATAAGCTCCCAGTTCTGGTGGGGAAACCATAGCCTTTCCTCCCAGCCCTGCCAGAGTTTGGGAGTGCCAAGTGGGTGGAATCTAGGTGGAGGAAGATGACTTTTTGGAGGGGAAGTGACTTGTGAACCTGAAACTTCAGAAAGTGGGAACCCTTTGTCTTTAACTGGAAGGTTTAGGCCAGTGCAAGGAGGGACAGTGTGAGCCAGCCCGTGGAAGCTGATACTTCCAAAGCTCATGCCTAGTTCCACCAGGCTTCTGAGGCCTCACTGGGGAGGGAAATAAGGGAAGAAACTAGAAAGTTGGGTGTCTAGGCCCAGGTGACCAAGTGACAATAAGCAGGAAGTCTGACTAATCCCTGGAAGTTCTAACCTCACGGAAGGGGTCCTGATGTACCAGGTTCCTCGTACAGGCCTGGATTCTGTCCTTCGTGTCCCAAGGGTAGGACTGTCCAAGAGCTAGAGCTTTCAGCACCTCTACCATGGCCTGGTTCCCAGCTTCTCTAGGTGGGTCTGTTACTATGGGAACCCAGGCCTCTTGGGAATGTGGTCAAGCCTGTTTATCATTTGTGCAATGTTCCCTACTACTAGCCATCCTTGTGGGCACAGATGTGGTTAGACCTCACAGACCCACCCCACCAGGGGTAAGTAACCTAAGGAGGGAGACACCTAGACTACCAGCTGGGTATGACAGCTCATCAGAAAGGGAAACTAGCAGGGCTGGGTTGGTATCTTGGATCATATCTTGAGGACTGTACCTAAGGATTAAGCTGGGGCACAAATGATACTGTTACACCACTGCCCTTGTGAATGAGATAAGGTCATACATGAAGCAATAGCATAGGAATCTCACCAACAAACTGCTGCCTGAGGTATCAGCCTACAGTGCTTAGGGCTAGAGCAGACAGCAGGCTACAGAAGGCAGCAGGCAGAGCTCTTCAGTAAAGCTGATAGGATCTTAAATACTCCTACACTGCAACTTAGGTGACAGTGAAGGTTCACTGGGTTTTCGTTTTGTTTTTTGAGACAGGGTTTCTCTGTGTAACCCTGGCTGTCCTGGAGTCACTTTGTAGAGCAGGCTAGCATCAAACTCACAGAGACCACCTCTGCCTCCAGAGTGCTGGGACTAAAGGTCTGTGCTATCACACCTGGCAAGCAATGTGTTCTTAATCAAGGGCACAATCAAAAGCTGTTGCCAGTGAGACCATTGTCTTCTAAATCCAACCATCCACAGTGAAAGTGAAAGAACAGGGTATACTCAAAGGCCGGGAACAAGTAGGGCCAATTCTGTCTTGCACTGGCAGAAATGCATTAGAAATGATGGGTACTCACTCCATCACACAACACAGACTCAACTTATTCCCAACTTCACCCAGCAGGTACTCTGAAGGGCTTGCAGCTGGGCCCCATGCAGACCTGGGAACTGCAGGTCAAAAGCCAGAGACATGGGTTTCTGGGCTCTTGGAGACAGGCCAGTAAGCTACTCTGCTCAATCTAGCATTCATTCTGACAACACTGGGTTGGCAGACGGACGCTTACTCAGGCAAGCCTGTACATGCTGCAGACCAGAAGAGAAAAAATAAAAAACAAACAACAAAACAAAACCGTGGTTGAAGAAGCAAGCACTCTAGGAGGGCTCGGCTTAGCTAGCCAGTCCTGACTGGGCCATTTGGGCTTATCTACATAGGGCTAATAGCCAAGAGAGCTGCCTCTAGGTTCATTCTCACACCTCCAAATACTTCCTCACTCCCGAGCCCACCTGGAGCAGGTGTTTAAAACAAGATTCTGAAAAGGACACATCTATTTACAGGAAGGGTGGCTTAGCTAGAGCAGGCCACCCTGGAGTAGGGGAATGTCATATTAAGGATAGACATACTGTCCACTCCAGGACTGATGCAGAAAACCACTGAGACAAGGCAGCTACAACAGAACTTGTTAGCTACTCTGCTGAGTAATTTCAAATGAACAAAGGGCATCCAGACCCTGGTTCAAACAAGAGTAGCTTCCAGCTTGAAGCTTAGCCTGACCCCAAGGATACTACTCAGAGGATACACCTTAAGAATTCTTGGAGAGGGGACTGGAGAGATGGCAGAGCAGGTAAGAGCACTGTCTGCTCTTCCAAAGGTCATGAGCTCAATTCCCGGCAACCACATGGTGGCTCACAACCATCTATAATGTGAACTGATTCCCTCTTCTGGCAGGTGCAAATGCAGATAGAACACTCATATACATAAAATAAATAAATCTTTAAAAAAAAAAAAAAGAAAAAAAAAGAATTCTTGGAGGAAGGGCTGGGCATACACTGGCCAAGGGAGGGTAGCTTTAGTCTGGAATCATGCTGCCCCCTAGTGCCGGACACACAGGCAGCTCCAAAATGTGTAGAGAACAGTCCCAACCCCAGGCTACATGGCATCTTCTAATTATATTGCTCCTTGCACACACACTATGCATTGTTTTGTCTGAGGCTAAAAGCACCACCCCTCACATGAAGCATGTGCACTCTGGTACAGGCAACTTACATTTTTTATTCTTTTTCTGAGTACATGTACGTATGTGTGTGTGCATGTGCTTGTACATGTGGAGGCGAGAGACTAACACCAGATTATTTCTTCTATCACTCTCTACCTCATCTTAAATATTCATTTATTTATATATTTTGAGGTCTCTCATTGAACCTGGAGCTCACAATTTATCTAGACTAGCCCAGTGAGCCCTAGGAATCCGCCACTTCCATCATAGAAACCATTGAAATCCAGCCTTTAGAGGGAAAGGGGATTAGGGAAACTGCAGGATATGCACTGGGAATACAGAAGTGTTCCATTATACTCAGCATTTTATGTAGGTGGTGTGCTGGCTAGATTTACATCAATTTCATACACAACAGTGTCATTTTAGAAAAGGGACCTCAAATGAGAAAATGCCCCATGAGATTATCCTATGGTGCATTTCCCTAACTGAAGGTTGTTGATGTGCCAGGGAGGAACCAGCTCACTGTGAACGGTGGTGCCTCTGAGCTCGTCCTGGTCCTGGGTATGATAAGAAAACAAGCTGAGTAGCCATGGGAGAAAGCCAATAAGCAGCACTTCTCCATGGCCTCTGTATCCCTTTCTGTCTCTAGGTTCCTGCCGTAACATTCCTGGATGATGGGCTGGACTACAAGCTGTAAGATGAAACACAAACCCTATCCTCTCCCAGTTCTTGATTATGGTGTTTGTTTTGTCACAGCAATAGAAGCCCTAACTAAGACAGGTGGTAAGGATCTGGATTCAGGTTCTCATACTTGCACAGAAAGCATTTTACTGACTGAGCTTCTTTTCAGGCCCATGGAAAGCATCAAAAAGGAAATCTAGCACCTTGGAAAAGAAACTCATTGAGCCAAGTTGGAAACTCAAATTATATTTAAACAGTAATAACACACAACACCCACATTCCAGGAACACAGTATTTAAAAACTAAGCTCATTGTGCAGGGATGGCCACCCTGGGTACTGGTGCTGGAGGGCCTCGTGGGACAGACACTTGGGGGGCAACCTTCTGACTCCTCTCTGCAGACAGGCGTTCCAGGCGTTCCGCATAGAAACCATTGAAATCCAGCCTTTAGAGGAGGGAAAGGGGAGTTAGGGAAACTGCAGGATTGGGCAGAGTCCAGCCCAAGCTGAGAAGATACACAGGATCTGTCATGGGTTGTCCACGTGGCAACCTGTCTCCTTCCAATCATATAAAGATCAGTGACAGGTATAACCCAGGGCCTCTTCCAGGCAGAGGGAGGGGCATGCGTACCTGCCAGTGGATGGGTACATGAGCAGGTCTCAACCCTGGTGGGCCTTATTGCATGCTATGGGCTTGGGTTCCCATCATCCAGCATTTCCTGGCAAGTCTGAGGGTGCCCCAGGTTTGGGAAGCCTGGCCATGACTTTTCAGTCTAGTGACCCCAGAAACTAGGGCATTGTAGGATGGCACGGAATACTAGATGGTCCCAATGTACAAACTAGTACTTTTTAAAGGGCAATTTAGTGATGGTATCCAATTCCTGGATGAAGCCAAGCCCCTTCCCTTTCCCAGCGGCAAGCAAACTACCCTCACCAGAGTATTCACAGCTGACCCCCTCTTCCATGGTCTTTGCCCAGATTGGGGAGCCTACTGCAGGAACTATGTGGAGCAGGGTACAGTGGAAGCAGATGGCAGGGCTGGGCTTCAAATTCAGGAAGTGTCACTTACCTGGAGATGACACTGGCCATGCCATGTTCACAGTCACTGGTGCTGTAGACACTTAGTCGGGCCAGCAAATCAAGAAGATGGGCAGAAAAGTTTTTGTCAAAGTTATTGATGGTGGCCTCGAAACCAGAGGCCAGCTGAGGTGTATCCACGTGCTCAGACAGGTGCTGAAAGTAAACCCCCAGGAACTCAGCATTGGTTACTAGGGAGGCACTTGGCCTCTCTGGAGCCACAGCATGCTCTTCCTTTGTAATCTTAGTTTTGAGACAGATCACTGCTGCCATTGTTGAAGCTAGCTTGTGATTCTCCAACCACTACTTCCTGAGTGCTGAGATCATACGCATGAACCACCACTTCTGGCTCTTTTTTGGAGACAGAGTCTCATGTTGTCCAGGCTAGCCTTGAACTCACTTTGAATGTCTGGTCCTCCTGCCTCTACCTTCCAAGTTCTGGGACTGCAGGCATATGCCACCATACCCAGCCTCTAGTTTTTTAATGAAAACAAAACAAAACAAAACAAAAAAACAAAAACAACTAGTTCTGCCACGTTTCCATGTTATACAAGATGGGAAGTTGGGGCATCATAGCACAGCAAATGAGAAACATTTGGGGCAGCAGGCCCAGCACACAGGGGTTTCTCCAGCTGCAGGTCTGATTTCAGGATTACTGGTGCTTTTCTCCTGGCCACTAATAAGCAAGAAGGCCTTGGCTTATGGCCCTCACATGCTCTCAGACTATCTCCCATTTGCCAACTCCTGACTATGAATCCTAGAGGCTTCATAGGTCATCTGTCCAACTGACTATTATAGTCAGGGAAAAGCACTTTAGCCAGGCTAAAGCGCTGTGCTCCAGAGCAATCCAAGCCTATCCCACACAATACTGTTGCATAGATGTCTTCACAACACTCTGGAGGCCAGATGTCTGGAGACAGTTTTAAGAAGAAGGAGGACTCTAGTGGCTCTGTTTGGAACCTAATTTCAGACCTGTGTTTTCCCTGTCATAGGGAAGGAATGGGTGATAGAAGTTCTCTGTTTTATTTTGAGACAGGGTTTCTCTGTATAGCCTTGGCTCTCCTGGACTTACTTTGTAGACCAGGCTGGCCTTGAACTCAAATCGATCCACCTGCCTCTGTCTCCCAGAGTGCTGGGATTAAAGACGTGCAACATCATGCCTGGCTTGGTCTCAAACTTGTTATAGAGCTGAACCTGGTTCCGAACAACTGATCCTCCTGCCTCTACTTCCCAAGTGCTAGGATTCCAGGTATAAGTCA